ATCTGGTGTTTATCGCTTCTGTGATGTCCTAGTGGGGTAGAAAGTCACTCACTCACTCACTAGGCGTTGCGAGTCCGACTCATAATACCAATGTACTGAGATCTAAACCCACTGCTGGCTGCATGGGTTTTTGTCATGGTACGGGGCATCGCAGGTCGACCCAGCCTAAAATGTGTACTAGGATGTATGTCATGGGGAAGTAAAGACGGCCGGTGTAATGCTGACCACATTACCCACCTAGTGCCGATTCGTCTGTAAAAATATGGAATGCTCTTCCCATATGTCCGATGTGACTAAGGCGTAAATAGGGATCTTACTTACTTACAATTTTAATAATATTTATGCAAGATTAAAGTTCAAAGCTTTGGTTTCCGTCTTTGGCGATGATTACACTGCTCGTGTGTTCCATCTATATGTGCACAATTTGTTAATGGGTTTTTTTTAATGTGTCTGACGACACGGTGCTACCAGCTTTAAATGCTGTTTAACTTCAGTACTACTACAGCAGCAAACTGTCCACTTATGGGGCAGACTCAACATCAACCCCCTCCTTACATTAGACTATAGGTTTTTTAGTAACCACTTGGGTGCCCTAATATCACTGTTTTGTATGGCTGAACAGGATTTGAGGAATTTGTTTCTGTTTTATTCTCACCATCAAGATGTTAATTCTACGAAAAGCATTCTAAAGGGAAACACTTACCTAATGTACCTACAGCAATATACTTGGTATTTTCTTTAGAACAGTCTTGACTGATGGGTATTATAAAGCCAAGGTGTCAAAAGTTTGCAACAATTTCATATTTGTTTCATTATTGACTCTAGGCTGCATGCAATCTGTGTCTATGGAAACTATTTTGTTGTTGTAGGAGACGTGTGTACAGTTACAAGGAGATTATTCTAAACTGGATACTTGAATGTTGAATTAAGAATTGATATTACAGCACTCGGGACACTGGCATAAGCACTCCATCCCTAATTTCAGCAGCAAGCGAAGAGTTCCAATTCTGATGGTATTTCCGTCTCACCTTTTCCTTGAGTGCTGAGCCTCAGCCAGATTCCCTTGTTACTCCTCGCAGTGGTATTCTTTGTGCCTCCTCATAGTTCACTCACTTCCAAAGGGGTTTCACAACATCTAGCTTGTCATACCTCAATTCACTACCAAGTCGTGCAGAATCGGCCAGTCAATCTGCCTGCTCATTTTTCAACACATCGGCATCCCTGAAGAAAATATCCAAAGGATGCTAACTACCCAGGACCTCAGAAGGGATGCTTGCCACTCTGCATGGATCACGCCTGATTCCATATTTTTTTAAAGTTGATAAGAATTTCAGACTAAGCTGGCCACTGTCTTTCCGGGGATATTTATTGTCTGAGGTGTAATCATTTCTTTTTTCTTTTCATTTTCTCATGTATCCATATTTCCTTCCTAATTTTCTCACCCCACAAAACACAATTCATGGTATTCAGTTCCCACAAATCCAACTCAAAGCCTGTATAATTCATGTCCTGCCTGCACACATCTTTATATCGTAACATAAACTGAAGTGGACATCTTCATCCATGTTTAATTCAGCACCCAAAAAAAGATGTTGTTGGGCTCTACATCCTTCCGAGTGTCCTAGCTATCTCCTCCTCTCAAGACTCAGCAGTGACACCACTGTTGTACTACCTGCTCTTTCCCAGACTAGATATCCAGGTCAATTTATTCCCAGCCATTGGGCAGATCCTTTGGGACAGATCTAGTATGTGTACAACTGAACAACAGATGACTTGATTTTTATATCTGGAGGAGAGGGTATCTTTCATCATTGAAAGTCACATGCGGATGCTTTTTGATTCACTTTTATTACTGTACCATATTAGTTTGTTACTTTGAAACTATTTGGGACTGTAAGAGGTCATTTCCCAGGCTCAAAGACACCCTCCCCCACCCCCTCCCTTAAAATTAAAAAAAAACACTCCAAAAGTGGTAAATAATTACACAGGCAGCAACTGTCTTGCACTCGATTTTCGAAGTCCGATCATATAATAAATATATAAGACAAGAGACTGGTCTATATAAAGAACAATGTGGAAAGATAGGAATTTAATTAGAGAAACTCTACTACAACAGTCAGAATAAAGTGTCTAGGACTGAGTCAGCCAGAGTTGTACGAGATCCCACGACATCCAAAGCGGTAACAAATGAAGTATGAAGTGAAGAATATCACAAATAACATTCAATATAGTAATAATTATGATTAATATTTTTAAAACAAAGTACTGGTTAGGTTTGTCTGTATCTAAAATAGTACTTCGTTAATTTTTAAAATGCAATATCACTAGGCCTAGGCTAGGGAAATTGAAGTAAGTAGGACATCAATTAAAGTAAAGTAGACCTCTGACTTACCGCAAGCTGCCTCACTTAAAACGCCCAGAACTTTGGGGCTGACCGGTTTGTGAGCATTATGATAATGGATGTAATAAATGTAATCCGGACCAAACCACGTCTGTCATCCTCTTGTTTATGTTAGCTGGTAACCTTTGACCTAAAACTCGGATCGCAATCTTAATGCTTCAAAACAAATTCAACACTAATTCTATATCTCATAACATTTTAAGAAATGTTAAACCCATTATACTTTTGTGCAAAATTTATACTTATATACTGTGACCTGGAAATGATAAAATACTAATTATAAAAAAAAAACATATGCGTCTAAGTTTCATAATTATATTTTCTTTATCCACAAAATGTGTCAACTTTTTTTAAATTAAACAATTAGCCAATCACAATCAGAAGCGGTTATTTACTGTTTCTATGGATACGGTTAGGGGAAAAATCAGTGGACAATAATAAAATACAACGTAACAGAGGGATTAAACACAAGATTACATCTAGATGAGAAGGAGGTGGGTAGAGGAGTACAATCTCTGAGGATATCTCGAATTTTGTTTGCTCTAACAAGAAGGGTTTAATCTCTCAGTAAGTCAGATCGTTGATTATAAATTAATAAATATTCCAGATGTATTAGTAATTAAACAGTCTGAGGAGAATGGTACTGCGAGACAGGACTAGGGGTTCTAGCCGACGTTCAACATTCATGGGAAAGATGAGACGGGTAAACAGACAGTTACTGGTTTTGGAACTCTACCCTGGCTGCTGAAAATGAGGACGGAGCGCTTATGGAAATGTCCTGAATGCTGTGATGTCCATTTCTATTTATTAATACTCTAGTTTGCTTTTACTTCAGTAGTCAGAGCAGCAATGGATTTTTCCCAAGTGCTTTGATGAAAGTCCTTCGTAATCCCTAATCCTTGGATTGGTTTGTGTGAAAAAAGAGGTTATGTTATGTTATTACAATCGAAGTCTTTGTACACTGGGCATCCCCATGCATGCTCAGTCCTTCCATGTAGGAGCCGCTTCAGTGTACCTCTGCTGACTGTTCCTATGAGGAGCCGGTTATAGTATCTCCTGTCTTTATCTCAAAGACGAGAAAGACGTGCTTCGCCAAGCCTAACTCCTCGGTCACGCAGACGTGTTAATGTCAGAGATTAGCCATTATCTCCCAACCTAGTTCGTACAGCATTGATGATATTAACTCTGTCCTTGCTTCTTCCCGTTTGCATTGGTGAATTAATCGAGTAACAGAAAGTGTATTGATCGGCACTCATAGAAAGAAGTAGAAAGATAGAAGAACACACTAGACAACATAACAATCGAAAGCTAGGTTACCGTGCCGGGAATTGAACCTGTCTCCTCCAGACGGCGTCTGCGCCTCGCCATGAATACAAGTACACTAAGAACATGGTCAACTAGGCACCCCCCAAAAAAGGGTGTCTTATTGGCCATGTCTATCGTAAAGCTTGAAATCCACAGCTATGGAATACGGAATGACATTTGCATTGGTGCATTACTTGCCAGCTGGTCAGCAGGTTAAAGTGACCACAACTCCGTTTATCCAATAAAGTATGGCCACAGGCAAAAAGGAAAGCATTGGTAAACAACCTTCTTCAGAATGCTATGAATAGTCATGATCTGACAATTGACGTGTATGGTGCGAGACAGTAACACTTATCAAATTCCGTAAGTCTATTGATGGTTTGATATGGGAACATATGATAATCTAAGCTTATCGGCCCGTCACACGATGGCAATGATATAAGCTAGCTAGTATGGATTCGAACTAGTACTTGCATATCATGTGGTAGAGCTTTGGCAGAGAATAAAACAAGTTCCAGTAGAGCAAGAGGTGAAGAAAAGACGCTTGTTTTGGATACAACATACGCTAAGAAATCCTGAGAACAATATAACTAGAATGACTTTGCACTGGAACCCACAGGGGGCATAGATTTTTTTTTTTAATGGAGAAGGGAGCTAAAGAGTGAAGTTAAACAGAAGGGGGGGGGGGAGGGGGGACATGAAGAGAACTGCATGCAGTAGCGGAGAATAGAACATCTTGGCATGAGCTGGTTGAGGGCCTATGCTCCATTGGGTGATGGAAAGGTAGAAAAAGACTTGCATATAAAATTAGCCTTCTGCAGAATCGGAAATATAGGTAAGTAAAAGTAAAAGATCCGTACTGATCTTCAGGCATATAGGGCATATAGCACTAGAACTATGTTTTATAGACTAATTGGTACTCAGTGGATGATGCGGTCAACATCATACCGGCCACCTTTACTTCCCGGACTTATTTTGGTGCCCACTCAAAGCTGGGTCAATCTAGAAGCCAAGATTTTTATTTCTTTTAAAGTCCGGCTCCCTTGTGACCTAAACCTTGACCTTCTGGTCCGCAGGCCAGCGTCTAGTCATTACACTAGAGGAGCTTCCAAAAATGCCACCTTGGGGGATTTTTTTTTTTTTTAAAGTACGTGCACAATAAAATAACAGCTTATAAACCAGAAATTTGCAACTACATGACCGTCCGTCATCATGATCATCATCATCGTCATCATCATCATTGTCATCATCTGTTACAGTTTATATTTCTTCAGCAACTACAAGTTCAACACAGATGGCCTACACAGGTGACAACATCGAGAAACAGCTGGCCTGGCTGCATTGCAAGAATATTCCAACAGGTTAGATAAATCACCAGACAGTCATTTGGCAGCACTTCTCCTTTCTCCTCTGCCTAGTAAGTGTTACCACTTTTGAGGTGTAGGCGGTGGGGTGGGGGGGGTGGAGGGTTGATTTAGGGCCACGTGGGTCTAGTAAGAAAGTAAATGAATTTCACGGATTAAGCATGATGAGTATGGTTTGTTGGCCTCATATCTTTATGCAATAAATATCAGTGATATTGACACTATCAACCTGGATTCTTTTCATCATCATTATCATAGTCTTATAACACTACACATAGTTGGATCGCCGACTCACTGACCAGTTCCCGACACCTCTGTCGGTCCGATACAAAATGTTTCATGTTTGCATAGTTCGAGATATGTCCAGTCAACTAAATTCTATCTCCAGTTCGTTCTTGGTCTGCCTCTTCTCCTCTTTATCTCTACTAAGACCTGTAGTACTGAGTCGGTGAGTCCAGTAGATCGAGTTGCATGTACCAATACTGGTCAATATATCAGAACATGTCCAGGTAAAATTCTGGCATACCTAATTGCCACTAGAGTCTGGTGTAACCTGTACTCTTTATTGGGTAAAGATAAAGGGACCCAGGATTGTAACAAAATTATTGGTTTAAAAAAAAATCATCCTGCCAATTCAGAGGCCCAAAAATAAAGTCCAGGTAAAGATCCCTTTTCACGCCTTAGGCACTTAGGCACATCGGGCATATGGGAAGAGCGTCCCATATTTTTACCGACCAGACGGCACTGTATGGGTAATGTGGTCAATATTACGCTGGCCTTTTTTACTTCCCCAGGACAGTCATCCTGGTACCCATTTTAGGCTGGGTCGACCTGCGACGCCCCATACCATTATAACAATCCACGCAGCCAACAGTGGGTTTCGATCGCGGTATGTGGAATTATAGTCTTACTCGCAACACCTTAGCCACGGACGCCACACAGAGACAGGAGAGAGTACTAAAAACATAGTCCCATAAAGTTCTTAAAGTCTGATTTGTGTGTGTGTGTGTGCGCGCGCGCGCAAGCACGTGTGTGTGTGTAAATAATAAATAATAAATGCTATGTTAACAGATGTGATGCGATCATTGTGCAAAATGGAAAACAGAAAGACTTCTTTTCAAAGAACTAACGATTCAATACTCGGGCAATTTAATTTGTTGTACCCCTATGAGAATGGTGAGTACTCTCTCCTGTGATTATTTAACGTGAAAAGTTTAATGTAACCGCTTTATGTGCCAGAATCTCACACATTCTTCGGTAAATTCAAATAAATTATAACTATTCATATCTTTTTCTGTCACAAACATCTATTTAACTAGCTCTAATTTTTTATTTTATTTCTAGTATTATGTTATGTTACACCATCGATGTCAGCTCTGTGGTTAAGTCGATGCGAACGCTTCGTAATGCCGGGATGCCGGGTTCCATCCCAGCTGCGGATCATACGCCTTGCGTTGGTTTCGACAGTGGTATCAGGGGCCGACCGTGCAGGAAGCAATGGCAAACTACTGGTCGTAAATTTGCCTAGAGAAACCACACAACAGCCAGGGGCTGCAACGTCCTGTAAAGGATACGCAACTAACCTTTGAAGGATGAAAAACACCATTGACATTACTGCACACTGGGCATTGCCCTGCGTCTCAAGTCCTCTGATGCAGCACTAGACCCAAGTGTGAAAGTTATGCCTGTGTGTTCTTGTCCTTTCATTATGGTTTATCTTCAAACTACACCACGTGGAGAGGGCTGCGTGGTCTCGAGGAGTGGTGTCCGCCTGGAGTGCTAGAGGTTCTGGCTTCAATCCCCGGTAAGGGCTGGCATTTTTTCAAGTGGACTTGGACTTCTAGTAATTCCCCCTGGCCTCTGGGTAGTGAGAACGGACGCCCGTTTGCATTGGTGCAAAAAAAAAAAAAAAATACCTTGGCAGTAGCAAATCAAAAAGAGTAACCTGATGGCGCTGCCCACGCACAATTTGGAGTTAAAAATCAACCCAAAGTATTTCAGGATCTTCGCCGGTGCTACAGAGTCTGTGCACTGTGCTGAGCTTTTTCGGACTCAGACTTGAAGAAGAACGGAGCACATATGGACAACTATCCGTGTCTCATGATGTTGATCCGTTGTTTAAACTTCAAACTTTAAACTTCAAATTCTAAACTTCACCATGTGGCTATGGTCGAAGGGATCAAAAGAGGAGGAGAGCCTAAAATTTCCTCGACACCCAAAGTGGTTTTGGAGGAAATGAAGAACATTAAGCAGCATGGGAAGGAACTGAAGGTTTGAACATCTGACCACTGACTGGGAGGCAATAAGGTGAATAACTGTGCCATCGTGACTATCAATAGAACTGACGGTGTTTTTTACACTTTTGATAAAACAGATTCACAATCCAGTGTATCGAATGTCAGCAGCTGCCAGCAAATCTGCTGTGATCAAACTGTAAGTAGTTGCGACGTTTCTACACATAAATACATTGCAACAGTTTTTCGAGTTATCAATGTATTAACATGTTCATATGGGTTCCGGGGTTCCCATTGTGGGGAAAACAAGAATAGACCCACTGCCTCCCCAAAAGCATGACGAAAGAGTCGACTAATTGGGGAGCTTCCTTCGAAGTCGGAGTGCATCTGCCGGAGAGGCAAGGAACCAACAGTCTGTATTCAAGAGAATGAGATCTGTAAAACTTATGCACACGCAACACTCAGGTTCTGGAGCAGGACTGCAGTTCAGTAGTGGACGAGCAACCAGAACTTTCCACCAGAATGTACAGCTGTTGATCGCGAAGAAGAAGAAGAAGAATATTTAGACTTTTTCTGCACACTAATTTAGTTACACAATATTAGAAAGTGCTTCATAAATTAATATACTCAAAGAATATTTGCAGTTTTAGTTTGAAAGAAGCTAATGAAAGTAAATCTCTATAAACAACAATAAGAAAAAGACAAACATTGTTCTTTGGTCACATAATGAGAAGAGAGACAACGGAGAACATCGTGACAACTGGAAAGATCAGTGGAAAAAGGGGTAGAGGCAGACCAAGAGAGATGATGCGGGATGGGCTAAAACTATGGCATGGAGGGATATCATCAAGTGAGTTGTTCCAGGCAACAAGGGATCGTGATCTGTGAAGACGCATGAGCGCCTATACCAGTTGGCAGGGCACATGATGATGATGAAGATGAGTTTGCTATATGTTTGACATTTGTTTAAAAACATTAGAAATTTTTTTTTTTTGCAACGTAAACTGTATAATAATGTCAGTAAATACTGACATTCTAAAAGATCTGAACATCGAGGACGATTGGCTAATAAACAGCATCCTGACTCAGAAGCTAATATAGTTTGGTCATATCAAGTGTCATGGCGGATTGGAAAAAAAATAGCAGCAGAAGGCATGGTACCAGGAAGAATAGGCAGGGGCCGACCAACACGAAGATGGGTTGGATATAAGTGACTCCTTGAATATAAAAGTGTGCAAGGTGGGAGAGCTGGTGAGAGACTGAGAGTCTGTCAGGCAGACTGTGATGAGAGCGACGTTCTGTAATGGATCTGCTACATGATGATCAATAATGTCAGTATCATATGAGTAAAACTTTTGATTTCTAGTGTTTTTAGTTTTTTTAGTTTAATTTACGTTTTAACAAAAATTTTATTAAAAAAAGATATTTAAATTTAAGAAAAAATAGGACAAGACAGCTTTATGTTATAGCAATCTCAGACGACAAGTTGACATTGCGGCTAGAAAACCTTCATCAGTACACGACCTGAATAGATAATGTAACATTTACAAACACGAATATATAAAATCACTTCACTGAGGCACCGTCAGGAAAAATCTACATGTCTGCCTGGCCAGTTGAAGCTCTGGGACAAGTGTGAACACAGGAAATGAATACTGGCCAGAAAAAAGTATGGACGGCAAAGAACCTCACAAGGCAGAGGAACATATTTATAGAGAGCAACTTTGTTTTTTGTTTCATGTTTAAAAAAAAAAATTTTAATTAAAGAATAATTAAATAAGCCTTTATTCATATGGGGATAGAAACTAGATCAATAACAGACAGACAGACCAAAAAAAAAAAAAACTGAAAAAAAGTTATCAAGGCAAACACAGACAGATAGAAAGAGAGTTAACAATGTGAGCCCAAAAAAAAAGGGGGGGGGGGGACATTCAGACAGGCAGGCAGAAAGATAGACAAGCAGGCAGACAGGCAGGCAGATAGGCAGACATACAGACATGCTTTCAAGTAAGCAGGAGAAACGTTATGCAAGTGAAAAGTTAGATATATGCGTAGGAGAAAGAAAGAGGGGTAATAAAGACAGAAGGGAGGGTGAAAGATAGGTCGGTAGATCGCCGAACAGGTGCTTGGAAAACTAGAAATAGATAATTGTTATATAATGTATAAAAAAAAGTAGACATTCTTTCAAACACTGTGTTTTTTTTTATTTTTTTTTATTTTATCCGCAGAAATATAGAGATCACAAACGCACCAACTGTCTAACAACTCCATTTTGCAAAAACCCAGGGGTCATACTATCAGATGCATATATAAAGCGTCGCGCGATGCCACTAGATTCTGAAGATCACGAACAATCCTTGCATCAGAACAGACAAAATAATGCCTGCCTTTGTGGGTGTTGCTATTACTCTCCGTGCGATGTGCATGTTCCCATAACCGAGTCAGCCATGTAGGTCTTCTGTCATACCTGTGATGGTCTTCAGCTGGCTTTACATATTTTCAAATTTCATGTTCACATTTGTATAGTTTACTTTATTTATCTGAAGTTACACCAAAATGTGATTTTACAACAAAATGAAAATGCCAAAGGGAGTCAGTGACATTAGATGTGTTGGGATTTTCATAACAGTAATTTGAAGCTGTATGCCAGAGACTAAAAGCAGAGTAGACAGAGAAAAACAGTATTTGAAACGATGATAAACATCTTATACAATAAGTCGAAACATTTTCATTGATAGTCGGAAAGATAACATCTTAATGTTATGTTGAACCTGTTCTTCTAAACGGCAATCAATGTTGGAATGTAAATGAATATATTTAGGAACAGTTTTTAAATAACGTTGATATCCTAAATAGCTAACAATCGTTAAAATGGACTGGAGGAGTCCCTGACCCTGACACTTTACAACATCACAAGGTGCCAAGAGCACACTTTAGATCTGTTATCTCTACCTTCTGCTAAACTGTGATCCACAGTGGTACAAAGCAAATATCGGACACAAGAAAAAGAATCTCTAAGACTGTGACATGGAAGAATATTATCCATAAATGAGATCTGTTGAGAGATGAAAAGGTCTTTATCATCTGCCAATGTGCATTATAATGCTGATTCTAAACACACACAAAAGTTAGTCACGTAGCCGTTACGGGACATTTCAGAACCAACATCCTAAATGTGTTCTTGCTATTGTTGGTTTTGACTGTTTGTGGTTTCACTAGGCAATTTTACGTTCAGTAGTTTGCCATTGCTTTCTGAACGGCCAGCTCTCAATACTGCTGGTGAAAGCAACGAAAGGCGGTCTGCTAACACATCACCCACAAATGTGGTGGAATCCAACCACCTAGAAATACAAAGATCACAATAAAGCATCCATAGCCAACTGTTCTACAGACGTGTGAAACTGACGACACAACACATGTATGGCTCAAGAGATTCATGTGGAATGAGCCTAAAAAGCTTAAGAAAATGTTAGGTTTTTATTTTTATTTTGTAAATTTGTAAAGCTTTTTAGTCACAGTTCACTGGAATTGCTTAGTATTAGCTTGAGTGCAGTCACCCTTGTTTGCACCATATGTATGCCTCAAATAGGGTTGCTAGATCTGGTTTTAAAAAAATGGTGGCGGCTTGTTGTTTGTTTTTTATGTATAATTATGTAGTCAATGCATCTTCGATGCCCTGTATCCACCGTCGTGTTCCGGCGGAAGCTGCTTTATCACCGTTCTCTCCGAACCAACATGGCGCTTGATTTACGTTTATAGACCATTCAATATTCTGCCATAGCGTGGTGGCAACACGCTTGTCTGTCGGCCTCAAGGTCCTAATTTTGAATCTGAAGGACGTCGGATGTATAAAAAAATGGGGGGGGGGGGGGGGGGGGGGGGGGGGGGGGGGAGGTGGGGGGTGAATTAACCATGGCCCTTAGGTAACCGAGTCTAAATGTCAGTGGGTTGTGTAAGGTGTCAGTGCTTGTGTAAGGTGTCAGTGGTTGTGTAAGGTGTCTGTGGTTGTGTAAGGTGTCAGTGGTTGGGTAAGGTGTCAGTGGTTGGGTAAGGTGTCAGTGGTTGGGTAAGGTGTTAGTGATTGGGTAAGGTGTCAGTGGTTGTGTAAGGTGTCAGTGGTTGTGTAAGGTGTCAGTGGTTGTGTAAGGTGTCAGTGGTTGTGTGAGGTGTCAGTGGTTGTGTAAGGTGTCAGTGGTTGTGTAAGGTGTCAGTGGTAATGAAGAGCTCACCAAATATGTCCGGCGTGATGCTGACCACATCCCTCATCTAGTTCCAGCAGGTCTAAAAAAAAATTTGTAAGCCTAACATTATATCTCCGATACCCCCTTGGCGGGAACATTTTTAAATAAGATTGTTTTATTTAAATGAACATTGTTTATTCTTTCCTGAAGCAGAATGCCTGTATATTGTGTGTGTGACGAGCCGCAGCAGGATGAAGATTCACAGATCAGTTGTATGTATCTTTGTTGTTCACTTTACTGCATGTTTTTATGGTCTTTTCTGCAATGTATGGCAACATATTCTTCTATCTGTATGAAATCACGTTGCTCTGTATGTTCATTATGCCATGCCCCTCCACTTACCATCCATTTCTGTTCCGACTAATAGGTCGTAAACTGAAATGGTCGTAAGTCGAGATTTTGTTTGGTTTTTCAACACACTATTTTCATTCAGTTCACATGACTTATACGTGATTACATGTCAGTCTAACAGCGACTGAGAGGTTGGTGAATCAGTCCAAGATTAAGGCACGAGGCATAAATTCTGGCCTCCTTCTTCTTCTTTTTCTTCTTCTTCTGCCATTTTAACCCCCAGTAGAGCATAGGCCCTCAACCAACACACGCCAAGTTATTCTATCCTTCATGCATGTCTTACCCCTATGGATTTTCAGACCTCGCTGTTGTAATCTCTCATCAAATATATTTAATGTATCTTGCATCTGATTCCGTGAGTGGGACAGAAGAGAAATATCATCAGCGAAGTTCAGATTATCATATGCTGTCTTGTATCAGATTCCGTGAGTGCCGCAGAAGAGAAATATCATCAGCGAAGTTCACATTGTCAGATGGTGTCTTGCATCTGATTCCGTGAGTGGAACAGAAGAGAAATATCATCAGCGAAAAACAGATCATCAGATGTTTTGTAGGGGTCCACTGAATTCCATTCTTGGTGTTAGCAGTTACTGTGTTCATAATCCAGTCTGGCATAAGCTGGTGACATTTCTTCCCAGTTTGCTAGAAGATTGATGCGCATCACTGCACTTCGATAATTATTCAGAGAGACAGTGGATCTGTTTGTGTCCTGACAGCAATCATGTTTAATGATCAGCTAAGCAGAGAATCTGTCAGTCAGATCGTTTATCATTGAGTCAGATAGGTACACCAAATTTAAGACTGCCGAATCAGCCATATGCACATGTGGACTGGCACCTGCGACAACAAATCACGTCATTTAAGACTGTCCGTGGTACAACATATCAAGGTAATACCTTTGGCTAAAAGAAAGATCTTAACATCACCTCAAACTTTACAGGTCGCTGAGTGAATTAAAAAAGACTGTGAAATTCATTCTGAGACAACACTGCAAATATAGATAATCTATTTCAAGTGAACGAAGAAAGAAAAAGAAGTCATTTACGTTATCAACCACTCAATCAATCAATTCAATCAGTTAATAAATAACAGTGTTCCTTATTTCTGGTTGGTAGGTGACCTCAATACGGTCTATGAGAAAATCAGAAAGTTGGCAGCCCTCAGGAGGCATCAGTCGTTGAAGGCGGGTTGTTACGAGGTAGGTCAGTGGGTTGGTGTGTGTTAGCCATAGTCTAGTGACTCAGTGGGTTGTGTGAAGTGTCAGTGGGTTCTGCGTGGTATCTGTGGCTTGTGTAAGGTGTCAGTGGCCTGTGTGAGGTGTCAGTGGGTTTTTTGAAGTGTCCGTGGATTGTGTGAGGTGTCCGTGGATTGTGTGAGGTGTCAGTGGGTTGTATGAAGTGTTAGTGGCCTGTGCGAGGTGTTAGTGTCGGGACCTAACCGAGCAATGACTGTTAATGTCTCGTTGGCATCTTTTGCTCAAGCACACCTCGCCCCCAGCAGGTAAATCCTGTTATTTCAAGTATTGTAGTCAAAGTTTGAGACTTCAACCTCTAGTGGAAAACTAGAAGATACAACAAAATGAGGTAACGGCAAAAAGACGAGCCTACTTTCCCTCTGATGAGAAAAAAAAACCCAAGTTACCGTGTAGCTCTCACTTGCCACCCCAGAAAGAACTGAATGGTGTGTATTAGAACGGAGAAGCCCTTAGTACCAAGAAAAAAATAAAGGAAAATAGTTTGTTAGGTGGGGACTAGAAACAGGAATATTCTAGTCCAGACACGAGATCTTCTGTCTAAAATCTAATCAGCCAGGCAACAAATAGACTACGACCACTACAAGCCCTAATTAATTTGAACCAACACATGGAACTATAATTATCCTATTCAACATCTGTTTATTTCACTGAACATGTACTAAGTTCTTCACAAATTATAATGCATTAAAATTCACAACGTGTTCGAAAATACCCTACAACAGATGGAACCTATCTTTGCCTACACACCTCAACCCGCGTTGCGCTAAACAATTAAACGCAACGGAAAAATCAGAACTACACGTTACTCGTTCGAATAGCAGAGGCCTAAGAGAACGAAACTGACCACTCCCGTCTGTTTTATCACTTCCTGACCCCAAGTTGGCCAGGTTTTTCGCTCGCTTAAATAAGCCTAATTCAGTTTATATAACAGTCGTCCAGCGCCTGTTTCATGTGTATAATTATGTCTAGCCCTTATTTTGCACATCAGCTTCACACCATGAAGCGGATGCTTTGCAGAACGTCGCTCTCATCGCGGTCTGCCTGAAAGTCACTCGGTTTTTTCGCCAGCTCTCCCACCTCGTGTACTTTCATATTCAAGAAGTCACTTATATGCTGTGCCCATCTTAATTTTGGTCGGCCCCTGCCCCTCCTTCCTAGTACCATAGCGCTTAATATGACCAAGAAATTACGGATGCGAATCGTGGACTATCTCCTAGTCCATGAGGAAGAAAATATGGGCTTTTGAGCTGAAATGGCAACGGAATTATGCTTGTTAGTCAAGAGTGTGATGACTCAGTAGGTGGTATGAAGTTATGGTGGTTTGCATAGGGTTTCAGTAGATTGTGTGAGGCCTCAGTGGGTTGTGTGAGGTGTCAGTCGGTTGTGTGAGGCGTCAGTGGGTTGTGTGAGGCGTCAGTGGGTTGTGTGAGGCGTCAGTGGGTTATGTGAGGCCTCAGTGGGTTGTGTGAGGCGTCAGTGGGTTGTGTGAGGCGTCAGTGTGTTGTGTGAGGTGTCAGTGGGTTGTGTGAGGCGTCAGTGGGTTGTGTGAGGTGTCAGTGGGTTGTGTGAGGCGTCAGTGGGTTGTGTGAGGCGTCAGTGCGTTGTGGGAGGTGTCAGTGGGTTGTGTGAGGCGTCAGTGGGTTGTGCGAGGTGTCAGTGGGTTGTGTGAGGTGTCAGCGGGGTGTGTGAGGCGTCAGTGGGTTGTGTGAGGTGTCAGTGGGTTGTGTGAGACGTCAGTGGGGTGTGTGAGGCGTCAGTGGGTTGTGTGAGGCGTCAGTGGGTTGTGTGAGGCGTCAGTGGTGTATATGAGGCGTCAGTGGGTTGTGTGAGGCGTCAGTGGGGTATGTGAGGCGTCAGTGGGTTGTGTGAGGCGTCAATACATGTGTGAGGTGGCACAGGAATTGGGGACTAGTTTTCTGTCCATATGTGTGTGTCTAAATGGCACAAGAAGATGATTTTTATATGTGTGTGTGTGTGTGTGTTTGTGCTTCAGGTACAAATTTGTGTCTTTCCAGCGTTAGTGGTCCACAGTGCGCTACTGTGGTGTATGTCAATGAGACAGTGATAACCCATGATTCTGGCGAGTGTCATGCGAGACCAGGTTCACCATCACCATGTGCCCTGCCAGCTGGCGTAGGCGCTCATGCGTCTACACAGATCACGGTTCCTGGTTGCCTGGAACAGCTCTCTTGATGATATCCCTTCATGCCATTGTTTCAGCCCATCCAGCATCATCTTTCTTGGTCTGCCTCTACCCCTTTTTCCACTGATCTTTCCAGTTGTCACGATGTTCTTTAATGTCTCTTGTCTCATTATGTGACCAAAGAACAGTGTTTGTCTTTTTCTTATTGAGACCAGATTGCGTTGAGGAAAACCTGACATTAAAAAAAAAAGTCTTTTTTACATCATGAGACACACCGGACATATATTCCTAGCAACAGATGGATAGATCAATAAGCACTTAGGCGGGTTGTGGTCAGTTCCGCACCAGTCGGCTTTAGACGAAACCAGAAAGTTTGCCTGTGTTTAGCAGTCTCTATCTCTCCTTCCACAGATCTTTGCAGTGGTCCTAACTTGTTCCATTTTCCCTCTTCTCATAACATAGCCGAAAAATGATGACTGTCTCCTTCTGATGTCTGTGATTAGTTGTCTTTGGGCTCTCAAAATACCACGTACAAAGAAGAAAGGAAATACTTCTTTTCAAAAAGATCTGAACATCAAGGAATAATCATCATCATCAGGTGCCTTGCCGACTGGCGTGGGCGATCATGCCTCTCCATAATCTACGATCTCCTGCAGCATGTATCAGTTCGTGTGTTGACACACCTCTATGCCAGGCAAAAAGACTGCATCAAGGAAGATTAGCTAATAAACAGCATCTTGTCTAGGAAGCTGACATATTTTGGGAATACCAAGCATCAAGGAAGATTGGTCAATAA